GAAAAGGAAGACTGTCAGTTCCTCCATTCCACCTCATTTCAGGAAATTTCAAGTATAAAAGGTGCTCTTCATTCCCAGAGGACTGAGAGTGAATCCTATAACTGACTCCTGTGCAATACCTAGCCAGCTGCCCCTCCATCTGGGCAGTATGCAGGACAGAGCCTGGGGGGAAGAAAGGCCACTAGTTCTGAGATGCTTGCATGTTGGAAACTCCTTGCAACTCTGCTCTGTCTTGGCTGACTCAGGCATGGGACCACACATTTCCCTTACCATTTCTTCCTCTGCTCTTGGCTCAAAAGTCCTGTTACTTGTGTTGTTTCTCTTACTCAGTGGCAGTCTCCCTGTGGAACTGTGCCTTTCAAATGGTGACAGCTATAGTAGCCACTTCAGACAGTGGCTGCTCTCCTGGTGCCAACCATGGTTTCCTGATTGCACATCCCAGATGGGCACCACCTGTTGTTACACCTTCCCCTCTCCCCAGTCTGCTTCCTGAGGCTGACTTTGGTTAGCACTCACCTTGTGCTTAAAATGCACGCCATAGGCTGACTCAGAATGTAGGCATTATCTTCTTTTCAGAAACATTTATTGGGTGCTCATATGTGTATGGCATTTAACAAAGTGAAACGATACCTGCCAGACTGTTGAGAAACTCGCAACTTGAAGCAGATTATAGTTGACGGGTTAGGTCCTTGGGAACAGGTCAGAAAGGAGAAACATAAGATTTTAGCCCTAAAAGGACATTAGCTGTCACTTAACCTACCCCCTTATTTTGTAGATAGTGAAATAAAAGCAGGCCACCTTGAACAGGCCAAGTTGCTTGGAGCACCCTGGCAGAGCTCATCCCGGATCTGCTTTCTGCAGGTTTTCAGTCGGTCTGGGCCGCCTCCTGGGGCTCAGCACCAGCACCTCTAAAGGAAAGCCACAGACCTCAGCAGGCTTTCTGGGCTTGGGGCGATTTATGTAAAAGATCTTGGAAAATGGCCAAGTAGTCACAGCGAGGAGAAACTTTCCACAATTAGGTAAGAGGAGTTTGGAGCTGTAGTTGTAAACATTAGAACGGAAACAGCTGGAGGATGATATTCCATTGTTTGAATCTGCATTTAAGTAGAGATGTAGAATACCCTCAAAGCAAGGACTGTTCAGATTATTAAGTCCCTAAGCAAGGCAGCATCTATGCTAACAGGGACATACTTCTATCCTCAAAGATTCGTGCGGTTTGAAGTAGATAAGTAGCTGGGTATGGTGGTGCACTTCTGTAATCCCAGCACTCAGAAGGCTGAGGAAGTAGGATTGTGAGGTCCAGGCCAACCTGGGCTATATAGTAGGGCCATGTTGCAAAAAAATTAACTAACTAACTAAATACATAGTAAACAAGGTTGCTGTGCCTGGAGGACTTCAGCAGTATAAGCAAGTTCCTGATGGCACTGTGATTTGAAGTGACATGAAGGCACTGTTGTTAGAACTACAGGGATGTGATGTAAAACCTCCAATGCCACGAAACAGTTTGTAAAGGCATCTGAGAGTAATGGCAAGAGCTGACCCCAGAGCCCTCCCCAGAGGTGAAAAGAGTTGTGGTAGAGTGGGGGTGGGGAGCAGTGAGACAGGGCATGGAGTTGGAGTTCTTGCTCTTCTGGCTGGGAAAATGCTTTACTAGCTACCTAATCGAATTCGGTCTACGCTGGGTCCCGATTAGAGAGGTGCCCTTCCATTCTGCTTCACTCTGTTTTGATCCTGGAGTCAGCTGCAGAGTTATAGATGAAGTGACAAGGATGGTATCTTGATTGTATCCAGCTGCCTGGAATAAGTCAAGGGCAGAGAGGCCCCACAGGAGGAACCGCACTCATAAAAGGCTCCAAAGGAATTCAAAATTCAGGACACCTCCGTGCCTTTTAGTAAAGCATGGTTTAGCATTCTGTGGCTCAGTGTCACAAATTAAGTCCCTCTGGAGAAAAGACTGATATAAGTGACTTCAGCTAACAATAAGTGGCCCTTACTGAAATCTTAACAGCATTTTGCCCTAAAACTGAGCCAATAAATAGGAAGAGCAACCACCATTTTTAATAGAAGAGTCACCTGGACCTCATGTCCATACTCACGCATATCCAGACACATACCTGCCCCTTTCTTCTGCCCTGCCACTGGTGTGCACTTCTGTGGCTTGGGGCCCTTCCGAAAGCTCCGTAACTCCTCCGAGGTGAGCGGGTGAGTGTGGCCCTGCCATGACTTGAGCGAGCGGTGCTTGGTTAAGAGGAGTCTGCCTGGGCCCAGAGAGACGTTATGGCTCACATAACTGTGCTGCCACTCTGGGCTCTATAAAACTCTAATGGCATCATATTATTTTAATCTGCTGACACACACCCCAGAGTAGAGGGAGCACAGCAGCAGCTTACACATCTGAGGAAGTGTTTGACATGGCTTCATTTGTCTGCAACTATTACGATGATGCCTGTGGCCGATTAGCAATGTTGGTCACAACATGGTGTTAATGAGGCCAAGGTGAGCCGGTTTCACACCAAGGGAAGCTCTTACAACACCAGACTGCGCTCCAGACCCAGGTGAGACATCCCACAGGCTGCTGGAGCCCAGCGAGAGCTGGGCAGAAACTGTGATGGCTCAGCAAATGCAGCTTGTTGCACTTGTGAAGCAGCAGTTTGAAGCAGTGCCCAGTGGAGGTGACTTGTTCCTGTGCTCTTTGCACTCAGGCTTGCGATCTGAGTGGAGGAGTGTGCTGCTCTAGCCACTTCTCGTCTTCAGCTTCTGCTGAGAGTTGCCTCTTTGTGCATTCAGCAACGCGGCTGTGTGCCAGGAGCTGTTCTTTGGACATGGGATACCTAGGTGAATAAGACAGTCTCTGTTCTGATCCAATTGAAATTCTATTGGAGGAAAATATGTAATACCGTAAATAACAAACAACTGCAAAAAAATGGAAGTTTGGTAAAGATAGGTGAGGGTGTGAAGATGTGATAAAGAGAGGCTGACTGGTGTGTGGTATTTGCCTAGAATAGGAAAGTCCATGAGGGCTTCTCGGAGGAGTTGACATTTAGACAGAGACCTGGCTGATGAGAAAGAACCAGCCTTTTGAAGAGCTGGGAGAATGTTCCAGCCAGAAGAACTAGCAAGTACAAAGGGCTTGGTCACAATCACATAGCAGAGAGGCTGCTAGCATGTGAGAAAGCCATTCTTAGTGCAATAGAAAGTCATTTTTGTTTTGTTTTGAGGGTGGGACATTTCTTAAAGATTTTCAGGGAGATGTTTCTGCAGTTAAATTGTGTTCTCTCAAAAAAATATGTTCAAATCTTGATGCTCTGTACCTCAGAATGTGACTTTATTTGGAAATAGGGACTTTGCAGAGGTAGTCAAGGCCATCAAGGTGGGCCTTAATTTGTTATGACTGGTGTCCTTGTAAAACAGGATACCGAGACAAACTTGACTGATGGCAGATGGCACGTAAAGATGGAAGTTGGAGTGATGCATATTGAAGCCAAGCACCAGAAGCCAGGAACAGGCAAAGAAGGAACTTTCCCAACAGGTGTCAGCAGGAGTATCATCCTGACAACCAGAACTTAAGAGAAGTTTCTAAGACCCCCAGTTTGTCGTTCTTTGTTATGGTAGCTAGGAGACTAAAAATGGGGGAGGGGGAGTGTTAATGCTAACACACTGGCTCTACCCCAGGGAATGGCTGGAATGGCTATATGGAACCTCCCTGAACTCAGCACCACTTGCATGTTGGGGAAACCACTGTTCATGTATGACTCTGTGTGTGTGTATAAATGCATATATGGTGAAAATAATTACAAAATAGGATAGGCTCACTGGCTGGGTGGTCATTTCAGAGATGCTGTGCAAGTCATGGTTGGAGAGCAGGACCAGCAATAAAGAGACAAGTTGGGAGACTGTCACAGGGGTCTTTGGTGAGATGATGGGGTGGAGCTCAGGGTAGTGGCAGTGGAGGTGGTAAGAGGATGACAAAAGAGACCAGCAGGATTGCTAACAGATTGGGAGAGGGGGGAGGGGATGAAGACTGACTCCCAGTGTTTGGGCTTGAGCATTTGGCTGGGCAGTTTATTGAGATGAGAAAATTGAGAGGACTTGTTTGGGGAGATGGAATGGAGAGCTGGGCCTGGTAAGTTGCAGGTGCTGTTGTTTATCCAGGTACAGATACTCAGTAAGAGGTTGGTTGTCTCAGAAGCATTCAGGGCTAAACATAAAGTTAGAGGTCATCTGATCAGAGGTGGGATTTTAAACGACTGATTGGAGAAGAGAATGGTGCCTGGGCTTGTACCTTCATTGGCTGAAGGTTGAAGAACCAGAAAGACACTTATAAGAGGGAAAGGGACAGCATGTGAGCTGTTAACTGCTCATTCTTATATGGGTCTTCTCCCTCTTAAAAGTTAAACTGAATTATGTAGAAACACATGGGGAAAGATGCTGAGAGTGCCTCACACCCAACACACTACATTCTGTTTTGTGCAACAAAACTGGCTTTAAGAACCTCTTCAAACACAGAAATCAAGTATTTGTTCTCAGTATGTTCCAGAATGTAGAATCACATAAATCCTCTGTGTTTTAGGCTTTTAATAGTCATAAGAATGGGTGTGTGCTCAGGAAAAATAGATGCCTTTTAAAAAAAAATAGAAATGGGGACTTTGTAAATTTTCTTAATCACCAATTTAATACTAATCAGGGCAATTGAGTTACAAGGTTGCATATATCCTTCATTTGTGTATTCATTAAGAATGGAACCTCTTTTGTTGATCATATATTAGCCCAGTTTGGTAAGCTGTTACTCCACATTACTTGAAATATCCAAGCATACACAGGAAGTTTTGGAGGCAATCAGAATCAACATCTGTCTTTGAATGTTAGCAGATTAACTAGCACCCATTTAAGTGAACATCTTCAGAAACCCAGATTCGAGCCTTGGAGGTCTGCTGACTACACCTGGTTGATTCTCTACTGAATGGTTGTCATCTAAACAGTCAATGTGGTTCTGTCCCCAGGTCTGGCGGGAATTTCCTGACCGACTGGTGGGCTACCCAGGTCGTCTGCATCTCTGGGACCATGAGATGAGTAAGTGGAAGTACGAGTCTGAGTGGACTAACGAGGTGTCCATGGTGCTCACTGGCGCAGCCTTCTATCACAAGGTAAGTGGTATGGGCCAGGGTGAGTATGTCAGGGTGACACCAAAGAGGGTGTGCTATGTACCCTCATTTCATTTGGCCCAGTTTAACTTTCCAGACCTGTTGCAAGTTTAGGCAAATGTTCTACTCAGATGGCTTAGAAGTGCCACGCTGTGTGATGCTCCTTTTAAATTTCAAAGTGTGGACATTCATAACAATAAAATGAAGAAGGTCACTCGTAATTCTGCCACTTAGAGGTAACCATTATTATTGTCGTTTACTTTTTCAATTTGTCTTTATTTACTTATTCACGCATACACAGAACAGTCATAATAATTTCATTAGCCACTGTTTTTTCACGTACTCTGAGCATTTTCTCATGTCATTAACATTTCTTCATAACAATTATTTCTTAGGATATTAGTAATGTGCCATTATGTGAATGATCCCTAAGTCATGTGTCACTATTTCTCTATCATTAGGTATTTAAGTTTCTAATTTTTGCTATTTTAGAGAATGCTTAATATGTAATGCTTAAGCAGTGATTAGTATCCATTTTCTTCTCTGTTTGTACTCATGGCCATTATGATAGGTTTCTAGAAGTAGATTTCTATTAAAGGGAATGGGTGTTTGGGGTTTTTTTTAAAGATATGTGTATGTAGTTTTTCCACATTACTGGTTCTAATATATATTCCCACCAGTAAAACATAAAATGGACTATTGTACCACACTGTCCTTTGCATACAATATGTTCAAAAAATTAAACTTAGCTATTGTAATAAGCAGTTGTATTGTTTTAACTTTGATTACTGGTGAGATTACAGTTCTTTTTGTATATTTATTAGCCTTTGTATTTCCTCTTTTCTGAGAATCACCTCATGGTTTTGACTCTTTTTTATTAGGGATACCCATTTGATTTTAGAATATTCAGTTCTTCCTGGAAGCAGGGGCTTTAATTAAATGAGAACTTGTCTGTTTCCACAGTAGCATCAAGAACTGATATTTTGCTCAGCTCAGCACAGTTCATTTAATTTAGCTGTTTTATATCTGTTGTTGTTAGCACAGCAGTGCTGCTCACATATTTTTCAGGACTCTAAATCCAGAATTAGGTAAACAAAACAAAAAAAAAAAACAAAAACAAAGACCCTAATGTTTACAATTCTTGAGTAGTAGAACTATGTGCACTTTATTTATTTGTTTATGTAGGGTTTTTGTTTGGTTGTTTGGGAGTGTTTTTTTTTGGAGACAGGGTCTCACTATGTAGCCCTGATTGGCCTCAAACTCACAGTCCTCCTGCCTCAGCCTCCCTAGTGCTGAGATTACAGGCATGTACCAACACACCTGACTATTTATTTACTCTTGAC